AGGAAGGGGCTCGTGCTGTCACCCAGCGCTTGCCCTGCTTTTCTGTTTGGCTTTTTATTTCAATACAAAGTATTTGACCCAGAGCCTTCACACTGAGGTACATCCTCACCCTTAAAAAAAACAAACTTTTTTTGGAGACAGGGTCAGAAATCACTAGGTTGCTCAAGTAGGACTTGAACTTGTGATCCTCCTGCCTGTCTTCCCAAAGTGCTGGGCTTACGGGCACGTGCCACCGTGCCCGGCTAGTCTTCTCTCGTAATCATGTCATCGGGCAGCGCGTCGGTGTTAACACCTTGTCCTTCCTCTTCTCCGCTGTACAGGCCAGGGCGTCTCATCCCGAATCCAGGTGTGGCGGGTCTGGGCAGCGAGGACCTCGGGCCTGGCTCCTCCCTGGAGACTGCCGTCACCTCTGCCTTTTGCAGAACTCCGCCGAGCTGGCTGGTTCTCAGGTCCAGGTCTGACACCCAGGACTCCCACACCTGCCCACAGAAAGGACCCCGCCCTGGGTGGAGGGAGCTGCAGCTCAGACCCGGATCATTGAGAAGAGCGGCCCATGGTGGGTGGGTGTGCTCAGAGGCGGGAGGCGCCACACAGGGCAAAGCAGGGCCAGGGACGGGGAGGTGGGCAGCGCCTGGCACTAGAGCTCTCAGCCTCCCCACGTCTGTGCGACAGTCAGGCGGGACAACAGATCCTCGCGAGCTTTTAGGGTGGAGGTAGAGGCATGGGCTGCGCGCGGCTCAGTTGTGCCGTCTGTACCCTGCACACCAGTCCTCTGCTTGAGGTCGCAGTCCAGGTGCCCACTGCGATTCCTCCTCTCTCCTTCCCAAGAACGGCGCTGGCCCGGGGAGGGAGTGGTTGCTGCATGCCTCTGCGAGGAGAGGTAGCAGGAGAGGTAGCGCCCGTCTTAATTACATCTTGGTAATCTCTTTTTAATTACTTGCCTCCTCTGCATCCCCGGGAGGAGCAGGATGGCTGGTAGCCTATTTAATGAGCTTAAGGACAATGTATTGGCGGCCCCTGCTATTTGTTACTTCTCTTTCCTTCTATCAAGCCAACCCTGGGATTAAACCTCAGAAGGCTTCATGCTGCACGAGCTGCGTTTCTACCACAGCTCCTCCCGCTACTCGGTCACCCTGGCCCCAGAATCGGTGGCAGAAATTCTCTGTGGCCCAGAGAGAGGCAGCTACTTCTGTGCAGCCAAGGACAGGACACCAGCTGGACGATAAGCAGGACAGAGCAGGTCCCCACACGCACTGTGACTGGCCATGGCTAGAACAGCTGTGGTCACCTGTCCCATTGGCCTCGGTCATCCTTCAGCCCAGGAGTCCTTCTCCCAGCCTATCCCCTTGGTAAGTGAGGGGTGCCAACCTCCATGGAAGCATGGGCAGAGGCAGTGCCCGGGCAGCCCAGCACATCGCCTCTTCTCTCAGCTCATCACAAGCTGCGGGCAAAGTGCTTCCAAGGCTGAGGGCGACCCCTTGCGAAAGGGCTGGCAGGGCTGGTGGGTTCGAAAGCTGAGTCCTGGCCTGGGGTCCCAGCCTGCCCTCACCTGGTCCTGGAAACTGTCCCTGTTGTCCCCACAGCATGGACTCTGCCCCTCTAACCACAGTCACTGTCCTGCTCTCTGCCAGGCCCTCCAGGAGTCTGACACATGACACAACCTGTCCCTCTTCCTGGTCTGTCTCCCTGGAAGACACCGCCGCATCTGTCTGTGCTGCTAAACCCACCCTGAGCAGTGCAGATGGAGAAAGGGCCTGAGGACACGACTGCTACCAGCAAGCCAGGACAGGGGAAGGCATGGGCTGAAGAATCAGCATGACCCTGGGTCAAGGGTTTTGAGGTACAGGATCAGGGTGGGAGAACGGAAAGTCAAATGATCTGCTTTTAAATTTCTCCCAACAACTCCATTTTATTTCAATATGGACATAAATTACAGTGCCACAAACAAAAGACACACACACACAAACTCACAGAAGTGTGGAAAGCCCTGGGCACCCCAAACCCAGTGGCACACAGGGCATGCTGCCCCTCCCCGCAGCCGGGTGTAGGAGAGGGCGAGACGTGCACGCACTCATCCCCTGGGGGTTCTGTGCTTCTCAAAATCATCAGCACATCCCCAAGAGTGTGTGACAGGCAAAGGACTTGTACAAATGCAGGCAGAAGCCACACATAATTATCAATATCCAATTATTAATGACTTGTAGAATGATTTCCTGGGGTTCAACCTAACAGAAAAAATTTAAAAACATATAAGGGGCAGCTTTTGAATCAATAAAAAAAAATGCTCCTATCCTTTGGTCTCATTTATTTTATTTCTCTGGAAAGAACCCAAAATGTGAATATAGATTTACATATAAAGTGTTCACTGCAGGGTAACATATAGTGACAGAGCCTGGAGGGAAACATCTACATGTTTAAAAAGAAGGGCGTTGGGCAGGGGAGGTAGCTCAGCAGCATAAGCCCTTGCCTGGGAAGTGCAAGGACCTGGGTTCAGTTCCTGTACCTCATGCCATGCCGGCCCTAGTGCCCTGGGCACACTGAGCTGGCCACCAAAACCAGAGTGAAAAAATAAAGGAGAAGGGCGCCAACAGAATGCTTTGCAGACATTTGTGACTCATGCTTGGAAAACCTCTGAGTGACACGATGTAATATAACATCAGTGAAAAAAGACAGGAAACTCAACCATGTCACTCGGAAAAAATGTGAAGCATTAGAAATAGAAAAAAGAAAAACCAGTGCAACAGCAAAGCCCCACATCCCCAGGGCAGTGCAGCGCACAAACGGGACATGGGCCCTGACGCGGGGCCTGCCCTGCCTGTCCCTGCCGGGGACCAGGTGATGATGGGGTTCCGTGGAGCCTGCCTGTCCCCTTCCTTGCTGGGAACAATATTCAGATGTCGGCTCAGGGCTCGCCAAGGATCGGTTGAGGCGCTCTTTGCCGCCGTGCGTGACTGTGGGGTCCGGATGACTGCTTCTATACAGTTCCCTACATTGCCCAAACTTTCTGCAGACAGCATACATTGCTTTTAAAATCATAGAAAATATAATTATCAAAACTACCGAGGCCCACCATAAACAGCCCCAACGGGCCACTGGCCAGGCGGAGGTTTTGCAATTCGCACGGCAACAAAAGACTAGAGCTTTCCTGGGAATTTTCAGAATGGGAAACTCGGGTGGCCCACAGCGTAAGCTTATGGAGGACCAGGTCTCGAGGGCTGGCAGGGCTGGGGCACAGCAGGCGCTCCCCTGGACTCTCCCCAGGGGAGACTGCGCTGCTATGACTGTGGCAGCAACTCCGCGGCGGCGGGAGCCCCCGCGCGGCTGGTGGGCCCGATTGTAAGACAGGAAACCGAGGGCAATGTCCTCGCTCAGCGTGCCTGACACCCACAGCAGCTCGCCCTTTCACGGCAGGCTGGTGGCTTAGGCTTTTTATAGTTGCCTCAGTGAGGGAGATAAAGCCAGCACACTAAGGCGCACGCATCTTAAGTTCGTACTAGCAAGCAAGAAAACCTAAGTGTAGCAAGCATTCTAAAGAGCGGCATTTATGTAAAGTTTTAAAAGATAATAGTATACACTCAGGGGTGGCCATGTGAATGGTAAAATAGGAAAACCAAACCACAGAAGGCAAGAGTTTAGGGGCCTGGAGGCAGGAGATGGACCTCTGGGGTTCACAGACTAGATCTGCCCCTCAGGCGCTGGGTGGCTACGGGTTAGTCACCTGTGTCTCTGTGCCGCTGCCTGGATCCACAACACAGGTGTATTAATAGCTTGCGCCCCACAGAGACCAAAAGGATGTAACACTCAGCAGCTACCTGGGAGGCACCTGGGTGTTACCTGCTGTTTCGATTATTAACCGCAAACCTTAAGAAAGATCAAGCGGGGCCACAGAGAGCTCAGTGGTCTAAGCGCCTGCTTAGGCAAGCACAGGTTTGAACCCCGGCACCACATGCCATGCCAGCACCACACCAGGTGCGCTGAGTCGGCCACCAAGACTGGGTGTGGTGGTGCATGACTGTAATCCCAGCGTTGGGGAGGCTGAGACAGGAGCATCATTTCGAGTCTGAGCTGCATAGTGAGACCTTGTACCATATACATAAAATTTAAAAAAAAATAATAAGAAGAAGATCAAGCGGACCACTCTGGGAGCCTCATTTCCAGGAATTCTTGCTGGATACAAGACCAGCACTCAAGTGCTTATTGTCCCACTCTGCACACAAGCAGGTGCCTGGGAGTGGCAGAGTCAACCAGCCCCGGGGGACTTAGACCCCTTCCCACCAGTCTGAGGGGACATAGCTCTTGTAGCCTCTCTGACCTTTTCACCTGCTTTTTCTCCCTTCCCTTCCACAAATGCAGGACCGAGGCACCTGTGTGCCCCAGCTCTTTCCGCACAGTGCCCTGCCCAGGATGGCAGCTAAAGACACAGGGCGGCTGGTTGCAGCTAGGCTGGACCTGCGGCTGCAGACCTTGGCCTGTCTGTGTGCAGAGTGCAGAGGCATGAAGCTTGTTGGGGAGAGACACTTTGCGCAGCCATAGAGGGCAGGCAGCAGGAAGAAGGGATTGCCCAGCGGCCGGACACCCCCCCCCCCCGGCTCAGAAGCCCGCCCTGGCTCCCCTGGGCAACTCTCCTCCCACCACTGCCTCTGCCAACCCACTGCCCACTTGCTCACGCCTCCTGGCCTTTGCCATCCATGGGGGGGGCATCGCTCTGCAGGGGATCATCGTATGGGATCTAAGTTTCCTTGCAGTGCTAAGAGAGCCAGGGACCAATCCTCATTGGAATAGAATAAAATAAAATATCTTTCCAATGAAGTACAGGATACTCATTCACTTTCCAGTACTGCATGTAGCATTTGAATGAGTGCTCATTTCCAGCGAGCTAATGACATAAGGTGATTGCCGACTTATCTGATGTACTTTCAATCCATTACCCATGTAGTAAAAACTAAGCTTGGCTTCTCCCTTACACAGCGAGATGCTCAGTATGTGCCGCAGAGCCTCACCTCTTCTAGGAAGCAGCCGAAGTTCTCGAGAAAATACTTCCAGTGTATGTAGGGCGTTAAATGAATTCTTAGTTTCCTCAAAAAGTAATGGTACTGGCTGTCGGTTAGCTTGTAGCAGAAATCCTTGAGGACTTGTCCGAAATCTGTAGCCTTTACAAACCCGGTGTCCTCTTTGTCTAATGCAGAAAATGCCTTTAAAAAAAGAAATTAAAGGAGGAAAAACATGGCAACTGCTACTGTCAAGTGAACATTTCAAGCCTATTTTGAGCATCACTTATGTGGAATGTGATTGTTATGGTTTGTATCCAATTGTCCTGGCAAACGCAAGAGCAGCGGGCTGTTTGAGGGGCGGGGCCAGGATCGAGGGGGCGGGGCCAAGGCAGGGCGTGGCTTGAGGGGCGGGGCCAGTGTAGGGCGTGGCTTGAGGGGCGGGGCCAGGGAGGAGCGAACGTTAAACTGGCAGCTTGCACTCTGCTTCCACCCAGGCCAGCGGCCTCCCTCGGAGGTGTGGAGAGGGTCATCCCGGACATGGAGGCACCCCAGCCTCTCCTGCAGGGCCTGTAGCGTGTCTGTGATCGAGGCCGCCTCTGGCAGAGAGATGTTTGGAGAAGACAGAGGCTCTGACCCTCTTTCCTGAGCAAATAAAGCTCCGAAGTCTTGCTACGTAATTCAGGCCGCTTTAAACCGTGAAACCTCCAACAACTGTGAGCTAAATAAACCTTTCCTTCCCTCATTTTGAGTGTGAGGTATTTGTCCCAGCAACGAGTGAAGCGTAACTGAGACAGCGATGAAATCTAGGCTACGTGGTCTTGCACAGCAAGCTCTGAATTACTCAGTGAGTGCTGCACTGTTGGAGGAGGCAGGGCGGGCCGTGTGCCACGGACTGTAGCGCTCAGGCCGAAGTTCATTCATCTGTCCCTGGGAGGCCGGAAGAAGGTGACGGGGGAGCCCAGGCTGGCACCCCCCTTCCGGCTCCCCGGCCCTGCTCACCAAGGACAGGAGAGCAACCTGCTTTTGCTCAGGGGCTCCTGGCCTTCTGCACAGTGCCCGGATGGGAGACTCCGGAGGGAGGGCGGGGGGGTCGGATCCCGAGTGGACCAGGCCGCTGCACTGAGGCTGTGACCCGGCTTCTCCGTGGCCGAAGCCTCGCAAGCAGGTCCCACTGCCCGGCCTGGGTGGGAGCGGCTGGGGCCATCGTGTGAATCCAGCCTCACAGATAGTCAACTGAGAAAGTGCAAAACTGTGCTATAAAAAGCAAGCATATTTTTCCCATCTGTCGAAACAAAATCATTCATTTTTATTGCACTAGGAAATCTGTATGAAGCGGTAGATGAAGACCTTTTTTTAAAGAAAGGATTGAATGTGTCTGCAAACCCCAAACTGTATTCCTCCACAGAACTGTTCATTAATTAGTTCATTCTCACTCCCAGCTAAGGAGGCGCACCCCAGGGCGTGACCTATGTGTGGCCTGTTCACCTACCAAGCTACCAGTGGTAGCTCAGCTCAACCAGAACCGTGGAACAAACTGAGTTCGTGAACCAGGGTGCCATTGGATAGCTTCAGAACTGTACTTCTCCTGCAGTAACAGGACACAGAGGTGGACAATGGAGGTCTCAGGGCCCTGGGATCAGGAACTGAGCTTTGAACCCAGGCTGCACTGCCCATCAGCTGTCTTCGACCTCTGGACCTCGGCTTCTTTGCTAATAAAGGTGGAAGAACTCCAAGGGTGTCTATGAGCCTTACAGACTGTACTGGAAAATACGGTGGTAGGCCCATGGCACATGCTAGATTTTCTACTCATACTAAGGATGATCATCAAAAGGAACGTGGCGGGCACATGCCTGTGGTCCCTGGGCAGCTGAGTGACTGAGAGACACTGCCAGAATTTTTAAGAATTTTAAAGTTAAAAAGGGCTTGGGATGTAGTTCGGCCTGAAGGCCCTCGCTTCATTCCCCAGCTCACGCCCCAAATGTGGTAGATCAAGGAGTCTGTTGTACAAGACATTGGAGATCCCACGGAAACAGCCTCCACAGTGTCCTGCGGACCTAGGGGGCTCCGCGCTATGGGTCTTTCTATGCTAGATCCTGGCTGCCAGTAATCAATTGTGAAAATGCTTGGAATTTGTAAACTGCTCCTGGAAATGATGAGCTCTGGCAATGGCTGGGGCTTCCGGCCCAGCCGTGGGCTGCAGGGGAGCTGCCTTGGACAGGGCTGTGCCGCCACCGTTCAGTCCACTTCCGGTCCCTGGGGACACCTGAGTCTGCTAGGTTTGCAAGGTCACTGAGCAGGGCAGCTTTGGCACACGGAAGGCCTAGTGGCCCTCGTGTTCATGGGGTTTCCCGAGGGCCACATGCACTCATACGACTACTTCTTTAGATGAGCAGTGAGGACATAAAGATGCTAAACCTGCAGAGAAGACACCTGGGCGCTCCCAGTGTGCTGTCTGGGACAGAGGCGAGTTCATGGGCATCTCGCAGGCCAGAGGGCCCTGCCTGTCTCTCTGCTCTTCACCTCAGCCATCCCTCACACCACACCTCCCCACACTGAGGAGATGGGATATGGCTCCCAAAACACTTCTGTATCTCAGGAGTGGGAATGGTGTTCTCCCTGGTGGTCTTTTGTTGTTCCAGCCCACCTGGAAGAGTCTTGTAAAGGCCTTCTGGCCTGGGGCGTCTTTGAAAAGCTAGACACTAAAGTCCAGCCTCTTAATACATCAGGAGAGTCTGGCATCATGGTGCAAACCTGTAATCCCAGCACTCGGGAGGCTGAGGCAGGAGGATCACCATGAGTTTGAGGCCAGCCTGGGCAAAATAAATGAGCTACAGGTCAGCCTGCTCTACATAGTGAGATCCTACCTCAAAAAAAGAAAAAAGGAAAAACAAAAAAATCAGGAGAGCAAATGCACATCTCAATTAAAGGTCTTTGTGGCTTTCACTCTTGGAGCCTCCTAGATTTGAAAAAGGTTTGGGACACACCCCTTGTCCTTCCTGCCTGTGCTCCTCCCAGCTCTGCCGCACAAGACCCTGAGCTCAGTCTGCCCCAGAGAACAGCCCCACCTCCCCCAGTGAGGCCCCAGAGCACTGTCTTCAAGGGCACAGGCCTCGTCTGCAGCACCATTCCATGCACACCAGCGCGTGGCAGCCTCCCAAGCGCCACACAGATGTAAGCTGCAAAGTGACAACCTCCACAGGGACCCAGCCTTCCAGCCACCTTCACAGAGCAGTCGCTCTTTGGCACAGCCCACTGGCTCATCCTCTTCACAGCTACCTTGTGTCTCTCACCTCCCTGGGCCCATGCTTGGCCGGGCTGAAAGCTCACGGACGTGTGAGCTGCTGCTACCCAAAGGCCTCTGTTGTTCTCTGCTAGAAGCCCTTAGTGTGACCTACTCAGAGAACCTTCTGCACTGTGGGCACTTCAGCCCCTGAGAACACACACCAGGCAGAATCGGGGTGCTTCACCGAGCAAGCATGTGTACACAGCTGTTCAAACCAACAATCTGGCTGGGACCAGCCAGACACGGAGGCAGGGCCTGTAGGGGGGCCGAGGAGCCCTGCGTGAGCCGAGAGCCGCTCTGCAGTGAAGCGGGCGCCATACCTGCACCAGGGCCAGCTGGGCGGTGCTGACCACCTCCTGGATGTGCCTCACCACCGCCTCCAGGCTCAGCGTGGAGAAGTTGGTTGGCATGGCTTCTTCCTTCTCTTTGGGCTGAGGTCTAGCTGCCTTGCTGTTTTCCAGCGCTCTCAAGAAGTCAAGGTAATTGATGGTGTTATCATGGCAGATGATTCCCAAACTTGTCCCCCCAGGAAAAGAAAAGAGGATATGTTAATTTTAAAGCAATCTGTCAGTTGGTTATTCATTCACCAAACAGTCGCAGAGCACAAGGCAATGTGGAGAAAGCAAACGGCTTTGTGACGCGGTTCCCTGCCCTCAGTCCTTAGGCACACAAATGCTGCCAGAGGAGGGAGTGGGTAAGGGCCAGGAGAGGCGAGAGGGGCTCATGCCACAGGTGGCCTGTCCTGAAGACCCATCCTCAGTGGATGGCAGGCCTCCCAGCTCTGAGAGCAGAAGACAGCGAGAGGAAGTGGGGCAGACAGCGAACTTTGGCAGGGATGTGCTATTTGCAGAGGGGCCTCGTGGGGTGGGGTCACAGCTGACAGTGCTGTCAGAGATGGCCTGGAAGTGAGGCTGTGGGCTGGGGGACAGCAAGGGGCCCAGAGAGGAGCTCCTGCGGTCATCAGGGCTGTAATGATGAGGACTTGCCAAGGAGTCAGGAAAGAAGGAGACAGCTCAGGGACAGTGGAGGACAAGAGGGACCGGGGAAAATGGATGCTAAACTCCTCATCAAGAAGGGCAGAAAGGAAGCTGCCATGCTAACAGGTCTCCAAAGGTATCTGTATGAGCCTTGTGTAGCTTAACATTTTCTCAAAAAGCCCGTTTCTCTGTCTACCGCCAGCAGGACATCCGTGTAGACCTAGAGGCTCCCCAACTGTGACCCAGAAGAAATGGCCTCAACATCCTGGAGTGATAGATTGTGGATAAAATCCAAAAGTTCCCTGAGACTCCAGAGGATGTTTATTAAAGATGTAAAATAATGCAACTTAGAGCCGCCACACATTCCAGGTCCATATTTCTGTCACTTAGCTCTTGGGCCATTGCTGGCCCTCAAACACGTAAAGCCTCCTTCGCCTGGGTGGAACCCAACAGCAGCGTGGGACCGAGCGGGGCATCGGTCAGAGGGAGAGAGAAGTCCCAGGGACTGCGACCTGCTTCTGAGAGAGGAGCCGAGAGCCGGACGTCTCCAGCTCACAGTGGCAGAGCAGCAGCGCTCAGCCCGCGGTGGCTCGTGGGGGACACGGACGACAAGGACAGTCAACGCAGCTTCATCAGCGTGGTATTAATATGGAGTAATGCAACCAAATGCACATGCTAATCTCCCCATACTATGTAGAAAAGCCTGTTTTGGATCTGGAAAAGAATAATCCCCACGTAATTACCCATAGCTGGGATGCTTATCATTAAGAGGTCTTTCAGAAGAAGCTGGCAGCTTCGTGGAGCACCCTTATTACAGCTTCTGCATGTGAAGAAGTTGGTCTCCCTCACGGAAAGGTGGATTAGAGAACTTCTGCAGTTCTGTGTATTGTTTATGAAAGTAGCAGGCCTAACTACACTTTACCAAGATGCAGGTAATCATTTAGTTAATGGTTTATCTTCAGCTACTTCCCCACGATTTATTCATCGAATGCGTATGTTTTTATTCACTTGGAGGTAGATTCAATGAAAAAAAGATTCTGATTAAGAAAGACAAGCGCAGGGGCTGGGGAGATAGCTTGGCAGCGTAGGTGTCTGCTTGGCAAGCGCCAGGTTGTGTGATTCCTGGTACCACATGCAGTGCTGGCCACCGAGCCGGGGCATTGGGGTGCACGCCTGCAATCCCAGTGCTGGGGAGGCTGAGACAGGAGGAGCACTGTGCGCTGTGCAGTGAGACCCTGTATCCAGTAAATAAATAAATTTTTAGAAAGATTTTTTAAAAGAAGACAAAGACATATAAGCATTTGAGGATGAAACAATTGTCACTTTCTGTACACACACACACACACACACACCACACAACATTGGACTTCTCACAGCTTGAACACAATGCTGAGATATCTTTAGGGTTTTTTTGTTTTGTTTTGTTTTTGTTTTTTGGCTAGTTCAGGCTGCCTTAAGGGCGGGTGTGGTGTGACTTGTGGAGCTGGGGATCAAACTGTGGTCCCCTACAACTGGCTGCGTTTGCCCAAGCACTACTTTAAATAACTGAGCTAACCGGCAAGCCCCCCAGGGTTTTTTTTTTTTAAAGGAAAATGATTATCTCTCTAGGATTTGAAGCTTATACAAGCTACCAAACTGTGTGAAGGAAATTTTTTTTTAAAGATTCAGGAATAACTCAGAAAGCTTATTTCCTACCTGCCTTTCTTAGGAAGTTCCTTCAGGAGGTTCTCTAGCAAGAGGAGAATGTGCATCGAGAAACGAAAAGGGGGCGGAGGGGAGGGAAGAGGGGCCCTGCACAGAGCTTGGAGCTTCTACATTCCCCCAAGAGCGAGAGAATGCCCAAGACTCTTTCCTGGGCCCAGCAGAAAAGTGAGGTCACGGGAGAGACGTCACCCTGAAATCTGGGAAAGGAGACGCTCATCCAGGGACTCGCTGCTGGGGCTGCTTTCCTGGAGGCAAAGCCACTGGCATGGGGGCTGGTGGGAACAGGCAGGTGGCAATCCTGACTGGCTGGTTAGGGCTGGCTATGAGGGGGACGCCCCCGGTCCAGCCTCAGGAGCTACCTGCCCACGGGCTGTCCCTGCGGGACCCCACCAGCTTCTCACAGAGAAGACCTGAGGGAGATCCCCAGGTTAGAGTTCCCCAGAAGAGGGGAAGGTCACCCTGCCCGGAGCTTCTCTATAACACTTTCCCTGGGAAGAGACTTGACCAGACCTCACGCCCTGAGGAAAGGGCATGGCCCCTGTGTTATGGTTTATATCTGGATGTCCCCAAAGCCCCACACACTCAAAGGAGGGCTCATTTTGGAAGATGACTGGAAAGCAGCAGAGCTCAATTTAATGTCGGGAGGCAGGGCCTGGCTAGAAGAGGCGGGGCAGCGTGTCCCGGTAGGGTTTCTCTCCCTCCTCAGCACTACCTTCTGTCCACCATGTTGCGAGTGAGCCCCCCCTCTCCTCACAGTCCTGCTTTGGAGCCAGCTGCCCAGGGAGCCAAGTAAACCTCTCCTCCTTTACTCTTCAGTATTGGGTGTGGTGTGTCAGCCCCAGGAAAGTGACTAAGACCCTGCTCCAGCCCCCTAAGTCTTCCTGTCATACCTAAAAGTGGGGAAAAAAGCACATAAAGTAAAAGACACCTCCAGATGCAGCCCAGGGACTCAGACCCACTCAGAGACTGCAGTCCTGCAGTCACAGGACACTTCCCCTGCCCAAGACTGTCCTACCACACCCAGTGTCCCTCGACACCCTGGGTCGCAAAGCACACTCAGCTTTGGAAGCAGTTGTTAGTGAAACTCAAAGAAAACAGGAGACACACAAGCAGGGACATTAGGGAACCCGTGGTCCTGGCACTGCATGCCACGGGGAAGAGTGAGCGCCTGGCCAAGGGCCAAGCGTCCACCCTAGAGGACTGGTCCCTCCTCTGCTGCCCTATGTCGTAGCTGGCAGCAACACCAGGGAGCCTGCAGGGCATTCAGACAATGGGACAAGAACAGTTAAGCAGACGAACGAGCCCCAGAGCCAGCCTCTAGGATGACACATGCTTTGGAAGCACCAGACTGGGAAACTGAAACTATTGTGAGATATGAGGAGCCACACCGGGAAAGTGGGTGCCAGGCAAGGGTGAAAGGGCACTCGGAGCAGAGCGGTTGGGGGACTGGCATCAAGAGAGGCATTGCCAGGTGAAGGCAGAGGAGGAGAAACAGAGAGCACCTCTCTGGGCATGCCAAGTGAGTAGGCAAGGGAGGAGGAAGAAGAGTCCATGAGCTCAGTGTCTGGACGGAAACCTTTCAAATGAGGGAAGGGAGAAAGCAAACAAGACAGAGGAGCCAAGAGCTGCGGGGAAGCACAGCTGTTAAACTAAAATATCAGGAAAGACAGGAAGGAAGAAAAAGCATCTGCGGTCATCATGACTGACTTTAGAAACAGAACAAAACACTTGCCAGCAGAGGAACAGAGACAAGAATGGTGCTGGACTTCTCACCGGAAGTCAGGAAAAAGGAGGCCGCCTTGAAAGAAGCAAGCCACGCCCACCTAGAGCTCCACGTTGGCTGAGGTCAGCCTGCAGAGGTAAGCTGCACAGGACCACAGGACCGGTGAGTTGGGCTTTTTGCTCCTGCACAGACAGGGAGTTCCACAAACCTCCCAGAGTCCTCTCAACCACAATACAGGATGGTACTCAGTGACAGAATCCCACCTCAGCAGCACATTTTAAGCACAACGCTAGCCCACAGACTGTGTGGCATGCACTTACACTATGAATCACTATTAATCTTGAGTTTAGCTTAACTGGACGTTATGTATTTTATCTGGCAACTTTATTCTCTGGTGAATCTGATCAAAGAAAGGTTGGCAGTGGGGTCCCCCCGGAAGTGATGCCCAGGTCACCCTGCAGTACAATCCGAAGCTGGCAAGTCATTCCCATCGGTGCAGAACTTCGAATCTGCTTGTCAGGGGCCCTCTCTTCATGCATGCATATTTTTGAGCAAAGTGTCCAATGTGAGAGGTTGCCTTAAAAGTGACAGTGAGGAGAGACTTCTTATACAAAGAACAAAGTCCACTGTTAAATTCAGAGAAACGGGGGGCCTGGCCCTAGCTCAGGCCTTTAAGTGGCTGCTTCCACAAAGCTGTCAGCCTCAGGTTGCTGGAGTTCGAACCTCACACCTCTCCCGCTGGCCAAAAGTGCCCTGAAGGCATTCGAGGAACAAAAAATAAATAAAATAAAATAAAATAAAATAAAAAATAAATTCAGAGAAACAAGGTGGCACATGCACGAAACAAGAACAGGCTGCTAGGAGACAGGGGACATTTGGCGAGCGAGGACAAGCCCCGGCAGTTTGATGATGGAAGGAGAGCAGAAGCAACACCGTGAGAGAGAAAAAAAGACTGGCAGCTGGAATGGAAGGAATGGCCCAGGAGGAGGGAAGCGAAGAAAAAAGAAATGGAAACGAGGGAGATTTCAAACCACAAAAGGGAACAGGCGAGCCGGTCCAGTGTCCAATAATGGGAGTTTCAGAGAGAACAAAGGAGAAATCATTCATGAAATAACTGAAGACAACTTCGGGGCCTGAGGTGTGTGAACGGGGCATCTTGGTAAGATGAAGCTGGCGGCTTGGGGGAGGTGTCTGAACACACCGGGTAGAGATGCACACCAGGGGTGAGCTGGGGCTTGAACATGCGACAGGAGGTACACAGGAAACTAAGTGAACAGGGCAAAGAAGCTCAGCCCAGGGCAGTGCTGTGGCGGAGGAAGTGACTGGCGTGCCCTGCTCATGGGGTCCTGAACACGGACCCGAGAATGGGGCTGCAGCCTGGCTAGCCATGTGGACAGCTGTCTGTGGGTTTCACATCTTCAGGTAGGAAGTCTGCAGGCCCTGCCTGCGAGTAGCAAGCCAGGAAGTAGCTAGAACGCTATCCCTTAGAAATGGGGACACAGCAAAACCTATCAGCTGAATGCACGGGAAGTGGTTGGCTCAGGCTGGGAAGCAAAGGCTGTTGAAGGGCAGAGGGGTCGCTGTTTCTCAACCAACTCATAAAGTAAAACTTCTAATATGCATGGAAAACATGGAGAAAATAAAAACGAATGGCAAAATGGGACTCTGCTAAGACCCATGAGGAAAAATCGTGCCTTTGTCAAATAGCTTTCCTTGTTGCTTTCAGCTGGCTCGAGCCCACTGTGGTGCAGCCCAGCCTGAAGGAGCAGGAGTGACGATCATAACTGCAAAGGCGATTCAAGGAGAACACACCATGCCCCATGAGAAACAAGCATAGAGCCAGACCCAGAGACCTGTTCAGAAGATCGGTGAGCTCCTCCTCCTTCAGGGGACAGCTGCACTCCTGCAACACTTGCTGCATCTTGGAGAGGGACACGGAGCCGGACTGCGACGTATCCAGCGTGCCGAGTGCTTTGCTGATGTCTTGGAAGTGCTCCACCAGCTGATCCCTGCAAGAGACCACACTTCAGACACCTACAAGCAGCGTGGCAGCTCGATCGCACCCCTATGCATGAGTCTGGAAAACCCCATGGGACATTTCCATTAAAAGGTATCTTGGAAAAATGCCAAGTCTCTTCCATTATCATTTTGTTATTATCATCAGCAAAACCACATTAGAGAAGATGCAGGCTTGTCTTGTTACTAGAATTGGTACTTTTAAAATTAGAATCAAGGACTTCAAAATACAGGGATGTTACAGGCGTGTGAAAGACACCTTCACTCTCCACAAATGCTTGCTGAGTGCCCATTACATGCTACCTGCAGCTCCAGGCACAACCAGGACACATGCGGGTGTCCCCAGGGACTTCACCTTCCAGTAGGGCCCAGGGCCATGACACAGGGAAGACCCAGGTGCCTGTATGCTGGGTTGATGGGTGAGATGAACAGTCAGGAACAGTGGACATTCAGAGGGGTGGGGACTGCTGTCCTCAGCCAGGGGACAAGTGGGCCTTGTTGGCCTGGTGCTCCCACAACTCAGCCTGGGAGGCACAGTCCCCTCTGGGAAGGGTTTTCTTGGGGTCCTGGCAGCAGCTGGAGCTGGGCCCCATGACAAGAATGGAAGAATAAGGGCAGGCCCAGGGTCTCATCAGCATTGGGGACAGGAGTGTCCAGGGATGTGTCACATTCTGGTCAAGCACTTGTTAAACATAGCCGGCATCTGTGAGTGTGGGCTGGGAAAGGGAGCTGGGCTGTACCCTCCAGCACGTTCCCACGTGGACCTTCTCAGCAAGGGACAGGGCAGCTGAGGATACAATGAAGCGTCCACACAACACCGTGCTCAGTGCCCAGCTCCAGGTCCATTTTGTGCACAGTCCATCTCCACAGGGCTCTCTGATTCAGTTCTTCGGTGTGGGAACTTCTTCCTGGACTTTGCCAACATTATTGCTGGCGGACTAGGCAAGCATGGACATCCACAGGCGTGAGGAGCTTCATCCCAGGGTGCGGTGGGGACAGGTCTAAGTTCTCCACCTCAGGTCTCTGGAAGGCTCTTTTACCAACTTAGGACAGCGCTTGCCTGATGGGTTCAGAGGCCACGGAGACTCCCGCTGGCCCTCCAGGACAAGATGTGCTGCCAATTCTGAGCCCTGTGTCCCTGGTGGAAGCCATCTGTCACCTCCGGCAGGTATTTGTGGGTACAGACAGTCCCTCAACCACACCTGGACAAAATAGTCTGCAGAAACAGGAGAGCCAGAACTGTGGAGAGGTGAGGCAGAGTGGGAATCCTCAGCATGGGCAGACAGAGCCATTACAGTGGCGCTGCGGGACGGCGTCCAGCGTTCCCTTGCTGGCCTCTGATTTGGAACCGGCTCATGTGACATGAGAGAGTTCCACTCAGTGAAGCCACATCAGGTACAGGAATATGAACGGACAGCAGGAGCTTCCAGGTCCCCACCCAGGTGCATGCTGAAATCTGCCCCATGCTACACGGGCATCGTCACAACCATTCTGTCCAGCGTAATCCCTCCAAGTGAAAGCCAGTGAAAGGAGAAAGAAACTCAAAGCATTTTTGGAGATACATATTTTTAGAAAATTGAGGCAGTCAGCATTTCTTGGCCCAGCTCCGAGGCAGCAATGATCCCCTTTCAGGGTAAATATGTGCACAGAGTAAATGCAGGCTGGGATCACGGTCACAGTGGGCTGCCAGAAACTACTGGCCCGTACGGAGGAGCGGAGCTCGCTGGGCCTCAGCCCTGGGTCCGGGCTACACAGTGAACCTACAGAAGGCACGCAACCCCTTGGGCTGCCACCTGCCCAGCCCAGGCAGGATCTTCTGCATCTTGAAAATGTATTGCAAGGGGCACTGTGAGTGAAATCAATTCTCTTAGATTCAAAAGACAGGCATAAAATTGGGTCCCTGTAACTCAGTGGGACCACTGGCTACCAGTCACATCAGAATTTCAGTGAAGAGGAGGAAATGGCAGAGTCCATGGACCCAGGGTCTGTGGCTCATCTGGAGGTTCCGTGACCACAACACTGGCATAGTCCCAGGGGCAAAGACACTGAATGAATTCTAGAGTCTGATATTTCCAAGATCTCCCAAGTTGGCCATGCATTTGACATGGTCCTAAGGGCAGCAAGACCATGGTGGTGGAGGAGGACAGGGCCAGTGGGAGTCAGGGAGCTGGGCCCAGGCCTTGAAATGGGTCTTCACATGTTGTATGGTCTCGGCTAAGCCCCTTGTGCCTGGCAGGACAGGAAGAGAAGGTGACGTGTGGTAGCCAGGGGTGCAGCTTTTCACTGGAGCCTCATTACTCACCAGAAGCAAGAAGTCGAGTGGGGACGGAGGGCCACCCCGGCTGGCACAGAGGTGTTGCGCTTTCTCGTTGGCTTCATGGCAGATTTGATTTCCACCGATCCTGAATTTATTTTACCTTAAATTTCACAAGCTCAGTTCTCTGGCTTTGCGCTCCACGGCTTGGTCATTTAGATACAAGCCCGGCTGGGTTCCAGCCGCTCTTCCCCCTGCTGGCTTCCTCTCAATGTTGTAGTGCTGTGTCTTTGGCCATCTTTGGGGACCCCTCAGCAGTGGCTCATTCATTCATTCAGTCATTCACTTGGGTGGGGACAGAGCACTGAGTCCTGCCATGGGAGGTGGCAGAGGCAGGCACAGGCAAGAGCAAGATGCACTTACAGCAGAGCCCCACCTAAGGAGACAGGAGCAGGCAGCGTGGGGGTTCAGACTGATGATTTACTGGAGAAAACTGTCCAGTAAATCTTGCCGTTTTATGGCTGTGGATGCGCATGCACCCAGCATGGTACCAGTCACGCTCCACCCCGCCTGGCTGGCCAGTCTGTCAGCATGGACTCTTCCAGGGAGTCTCACAGAAATCGCAATAGGTGTGTACTTTCACACTGTCTTCTGGGTCACATGTCACCACACCAGTGCACTAGATGGGGATGGAAAGGTGTCCCTTTTGTCGTTGTTGCTAAAGACACACGGTGAGGCCCACCTTGCACCTGCCAAGCTCTTCTGAGCTCATTCAATGGGAAGGAGCCCTCCCCGCAGAAGTGGTGAGTTAAAGGCTATCTGTCCATTTGCCCATCCATCTGTCCATCCATCCATCCATCAATTGGCCCATTCATCCATCCATCCATCCATCTGTCCATACATCCATTGGTCCATCCATCCATCCATCCATCCATCCATCCATCCATCCATCCATCCATCTGTCCATCCATCGATCCATCAATCCATCCGTCCATCCATCCATCTAGCAGTATTCACAGGGGGCCTACAAGGTGTCCAGCACTTGGAAAAGTGACATTCTAGAGACCTCATGTTCTGGCGGGCCAAGGGAGGCACGAGGCATGGTGCAGGACCCCAGGGTTAGTTTTCCAGGGTGACCTAAAATGTGAAAGAACATGGGGTTGGGAGTGGGTGAGGCGGAACAGGGCACAGCTTTTTGACTCCTCTACAGCATTTGGGCATCTAGGTTTCTAGTCTGTGCGGTAGCAAGGGAGCAGAGCACTTCCACCGTAGCTGTGCCGGCCCCCGTGGGGTGGGAGCACTGTGGGCAGCACTGCTGCAGGAGAAGCGCAAGGGAGCGCCTCGGACGCCTGGACCCACCTAGCCGGCCTGGCCCGCTCTGTGCTCTGCTGCAGCTCCTGGATCTCCTCTTGCATCTGCTGGGGCTTCGTGAAGTGGCCCAGGAAATTGAAGTAATCTTCTGCATAGGGCCGGTGGACCGCTGGGGAGTAGTTAATACCCAGTTTCTCTAAAAACTCTTGGTAAGTAATGTGCCCTCGTCCCTCGGTGTCGTAGCTGAAACAAGAACAAAGAACAACGCCGGCATCAGCAGCCATGGAGGTCCGCAGGCACTTAGGGCTGCATGGCCTGGGAAGAGCTCGGGTATCGCGTCCTCACCGTGAGCGACCAGAAGGGCAGAGGGCCGGCCTGGCCCAGTCCTGTTGGAACCCGCACTTGCCAGGGTCCCCCGGTGCCCCGCACGCACCTGGTTTGCAACCTACTGCTCTGAATCAGCAGAACCATTTTTTTTGTGTGTAAGATCCATCCTGGAAGAACACAACCAAAACCAAGCACTTGTCCCACTGGTGGGGACACAGCTGTGACCACAGAAAATGAAACCAAGCCTTCCGCACATTCAACAGTTTTTATTGTGTTGAGCACTGATATGTAAAAGGAGCTATGCTAAGACTTAGAAGAAAATCCTCCAAAAAAGCATATTCCATCTGAAGACTACGAATAAATGAATGCCACTTGATTCGAGGGTGGTACAAGCCCCATTTTCTCCCTGAAGCGATGGCAATTACACACACCCAACAAGAGAGACGAGAAGGGAAACAAGATAAGAAGTGCGTTCAGTGCCTTTTATGTCATTTTCTATTATCAAGATTTTTCTGAATTATAATTCATTAAAAAAGACATAATGGAGGGTTTTTATCTCCCAACGTTATTCAAATAGAATAGAATTACTTCAATAAAAACGGTTAGGCAAATTGCCAATTTTCTTTAAAGGAAAATTGCATGTATTTTTATAGAAAGATCTGGGTCCTCATCTAATCGATAAAAATGGCATTTGCAGATGTGATTTTTCCCCCCATATAAACTCGGAGGTGCAAGGAACTAGACTTGCTGAAAGACTCCCTGAAATGATCTCGCGAGGCTGAGCTTGCACAAGGATGCCATGGGTCCCACCGGCTGAGCCTAGCTGCCTAAAGTCTGCAGACCGTCCGCTGTCCTCACAGGAGGAAGAAGAGGTCAGAGGCTGGGCCCTTCCCATGAGCTCTCTCGCTCACATGCACAGGGGAGGTGGAAGCCTGCATTCCAGGTCAGCAGCTAGAGCTATGTAGCCAGACCCTGTCTCAAAAACCAACCAAACAACAGGAAAGCAAAGCAAAGCCACACACCCACAACGGGGGCCAGCCAGCCAGGCCGCCACCCAGAAGCAGGCGGGTGCACAGGCCTGGTGAACGTGCCTGCCTTGCTGTGGTTGGTGTGCTGTATCCACATTTCTATAAAATCAGTGTCTCACAGTTCAGGCGTGGAAACAGGAGAAGAGGCCATTGCTGGGCAGCAGCTTATGTCTGTGAGGTCACTGCTTGGGCTCAGCCCAGGCTGGAGAGAACCTATTCGGTATCCATCTGATAAACCTCTGGACAGGGCCAGCCCTGAGGCAGGAAAGGCTGGGAGAAGCTCACGGCTTCCGGAGGCCTCTCCTTGGCCACAAAGGCCAGTGACTCCTAGGCAGTACCACCAAGGACAGGGGCTGTCCCTACTGCTGAAACCAAGAGGGGCAGGCAACCCTCTCCTGAGCTGTGGGGTGACACCAGGGCTGTGCATCTGTCTCTAACTGCACAAGGACTGGATCCAGCCTGGTGCCACCTGAGGGAGGCGGCAACACAACTCTGGCCGGGACACCTGCTGACCAAGCTTCCAGAGCGTCCCCACCCTGCCAGGACGGTTCTGGACAGAGGGGCTGGACAACTCCCGGTACCTCTGCCAGACCCACCCTCCTCCTGGGGGCAAGGAGCCTTGCTGGGTGCTGGCCCTCAAGTCCCTCGGTGGAGGGGTGGGTGGGTGCAGCTGGAGACCGAGGCCGGGGCAGGAGGCACGGAGCCACTGCTCGCCAACGGCCAGGCAGAGTGACGGCTTCCGCGCTGGGTGGCCCTCCTGCTGCGGGCTGCTCCAGAGAGTCCCAACAACCGGCCGTAAATCACGACACTTGAACTGAATGAAAAGGCACTTCTTAATTACTTCATTAATAAAGATCATAAACATTCTCCTCTCATCGCAAAGGAGCACAAGACCAGATTGCACAAATTGCAACTAAAATATTGTTATGAATGTGAATAATAAGAGAGTTAATTCAGCTTACATAACCTCACCCTTCATTACATAATCCTTTGTGTAACATTAAAAAAGAATCAACTTGCCTATAAAGGTTGAATTTTAAAATGGCTCAGCAACAGATGTGCCAGGGAAATTGTGCGCATAGGCACAGGCCCCATAAAACCTCGCATGTGTGTACGGCGGTGCTCATTAATTTATGACATAATCAGATCACTCTGGCCTTTTATCGTACATACAGCGGTTCCATGGCATACGCAAGCTGGATGTGTTCATATTGTTCTGCTCCGCTCAGGAAGCCTGGGTCTTTTCTGTTCAGTTCAGGCACTTGCTTCTTACACGTGTTTTGGAAGTAGTTTTGAATGTCAGTGATGCCAGAGGTGAGGGCAGGACTGGGGTGTGGGGTGAGGCACACTGATGAGCCAGGCCACACCGTGCAGGAGGAGGAGGATGTGCCTTGTGCAGCCGGGGACCATCCTGGAGGTTATTCTGGTGGCTCTGACGTGAACTTCAGAATGAGCACTGACCAGACGCCTGCGGTGGCCTGACCCACTGGGCATAGCCAGAAAGCCCTGAAGAAGTCACTGAAGGCTGGCACTGTCTGCTCCATGCCCATGAGCTGCAGGGTCCCATGTCTCTCCTCTGTTCTCCCAGCACATGGAGGTCCGGCCTCAGAGAGCCACGCAGTGACTGGGGAGTCCACTTCTTCTGAGGATGCCCACCAGCGCTGCAGAAGCTTTGACTCTTTGCAGAGTTCCCCCAGCTCAGCCAGAGCCCACCAGGCCAACATGTCCCAAAGGCCAACGTCCCCAAGGGCAAGTCCTGCACACTTAGCACGCTGAGGCTCAACCGCTGCGGCTGAGTCACATCCAAGCTTCCTTCCGAAGCTAAAGTCCCCACTCACTCGACTTCTCCCAGCCTTTCCTGCCTCAGGGCTGGCCCTGTCCAGAGGTTTATCAGATGGATACCGAATAGGTTCTCTCCAGCCTGGGCTGAGCCCAAGCAGTGACCTCACAGACATAAGCTGCTGCCCAGCAATGGCCTCTTCTCCTGTTTCCACGCCTGAACTGTGAGACACTGATTTTATAGAAATGTGGATACAGCACACCAACCACAGCAAGGCAGGCACGTTCACCAGGCCTGTGCACCCGCCTGCTTCTGGGTGGCGGCCTGGCTGGCTGGCCACACCTGGCCCCTCTGCCGACCTTGCCCACCTTGCTGCTGCCCACAGGGGGTTCTCTTTGGTCTGCTTCTAGAACACACTCACTCTGTCATGTTCCTGGAAAGTTTCTTTTGGATCCTGCTGAGGGCCATGTCACCCTGCATCCTGGGACCCAGGAGCCTAACACTGAGTCGGCACTTAGTTTCAAAAAATTACTCCTTCCTGGCTGAAGGAATGAGAGAGAATGACCCCACATGGCAACTTTTCTGCGGCGGTCTCTTCCTAGCCCAGCAGGGGCTTGTGCCTGACAGCGCAGGGTCACAGACCCTGGTCTGGTGCAGGGAATAGGACTCCCTTGTTCCTCCCACCCACTGTGAGCTGGGCTCTGCGACCTGCTGGCGGGGACCTCAGCCAGTCCTGGAGCTGGGCTGTGGGCACACCCCTGTAAGCTGCTGTGACCCTGCAGCTCTGGAGTCCCCACCCTTGGCATGGCATCCCCCACTAAGATGATAGAACCACCCCTGGAAGCCAGCCAGGCCCCCCAGACACTACTTGGAAGGGAACCATCCATAAAAGCCACTAGGTCTGCAGCAGAATAAGTCATAAAATATTGATGTGCTGAACCGCTGAGATTTGGGGGTTAATTTATTAATTTACTTCTACAGCATAAACTAGACCCTCCAGATTAATCCAGAGCTCTAAAACCACGCACTTCACAGGTGCTTAATAAGTGTGGAGTGAATAATGGATGTCAACAGTTTTTTTCTTGTCTGTATTTTTGCCATTTTTTTTTAAACGTTCCCATTTTCATATGAACAGAACATCATCTTCCCGTGCTTCTGCCTGCCCAGTGGTGGGTCTTCCTGTTCGCACTCACGACATGGGCCTGCTCAGACCCCCAGATGAACAACGGTGTCACCAGCCTGGGTGCTCCTGACTCTCCTGGGTCCTGCTACTCAGGATTGGGTTTGGGGATCCCCACACACTACCCTGGGGAGGATGCTGGCTCTTCCCCGTTGTTAGGGCAACTGGAGGAGCTGCCGGTACCTTGACAACCTGTCCTGCAGGCGCAGCTCCCAGCATGCCCTGCTTTGGGAATGGAAGCCGTCAGCCGGCGGCCTCTAACTGCACACACACACACACACACACACACACACACACACACACACAGATGTGAGGGGAACAAGCCAGGAGGAGGATGTGGGGGAGGACACTGAGACAGAGGATGGCATTTCCACTCTGGGCAAAAGAAAAATGCCATCGAGACCTCGCTGTTGGTGGTCTCTGCTGAGTGCATGGTGGATGTTTATTGTCTTCTCCTTCGTGTTGTTCTGGGCTGTGTCTTGAGCGAGTGCATATTCACAGTGCCCTGGGGAGCGCGTTCCGATCTCTCAGACGCCCTGCTGCCCGGGAGGCCTGCTGGGGACGGTCTCCCCTCTGCCGCCCCATGGGCCACACACAAGCTGCGGGCTCCTGGTTCCTGACTTCCAGCCCGGGGTCTCACACTGCGTGACGTTTCCTGCTCTTTGTTCTCTGCCGCACGGGGAGGAACACACTTGGGGCTTCCCCCTGGCCTCGCAGAGCCGTCCTCTCTCTTCCTGGGGGTAACACACAGAGACCGTGATGTGTGCCGATCTCTGTCTCTTTTTCCTTCTGGACACACACTCAGACCGCTTCTCCCAGCTATCCCCTCAGGTTAGCATAGACGGCAGAATGGAGACGGTTTCCACGCTGGTCCCTTCCACGCTGACCACATGGGCCTCTGTGGTCTCTGCTCTTCTCTGTGGGACTCAAAAGGTGACGGGTTGGCTGCTCTCGAATGGTGCAGTGGGTACGATATGCCCACCCACCCACTGGAGGCTGTGTTAGGGCCCCTGGCCGGCTGCCCCAGCCGTTCCACCACTCCAACTACTCAGTTTAAAAGGGCCCTTTATCCCGGGACTCTGGGAGGCTGAGGCAGGAGAATTACATGTTTGAGCCCAGCCTAGGGAACTTAGCAATTTAATGAGACCTCATCTCAAAATGAAAACTAAAACAAGCTGGGCACGTAGTTCAGTTCAAAGACCTTGGGTTCCTCCCCCAGTACCACAAAAACTAAACAAAAACCAAAAAGCCATTTTAGCCTTACAAGATGCACAGAGAAGCCTGTGGGGGTGGTTGTATGGCATTATGAACATATTCAATCCCACTGAACTGCATGCCTAGGAATGGTTATGGTGGCAAATTCCAACTGTATTTTAGCACAATAAAAAATTAGGAGATAAACCCTAACAATACAAATTTGCTTTAATGAGTGAAATGTAGACTTAACATGAACTATCTTTCTTTAGTTCCTCAAATAGAATAAAAATCCCAATACTAAGTGCTGCAATTCTGCAGACTGCCCGCACACTGCTAAGGGACACCCAGAAAGGTCACAGCCGGGCAGGGAGGTGCGTGGTGCTGGCCGGAAGAGGCAGCTTTGGCAGAGGCCTGAGGGGCTCCCCAGTGAGGGCAGGGAACCGGAACTTTGCACCAAGAACTGCCCTTGCCTACAGCCCCTCAATGGCTTTCTCCAGCCTATGGGATTCGTCCGCGCTCTTATATCTCTCCATTTAGCAAATTGATTTTGTCACATGCAAAAAAAAATTTGACAACTTAGTTCAAAAGTCCCGCTTAGCCGCCACTCATCCCGAGGCCTTCGGCAGTCGCTGCCTGGCTCTGCGCTTCATCGCTGAGCATTTCTCTTCTTAAGACCAGGCAGGGTATAAGGAGAGGCGCCGGTGCCATTCACTCCTGTTGGCCTCCCCGCTCCCCACCGAGCACACGCGCTGGAGGAACAGGGGAGGAGACAGCGGCGCCTGCCACACGCATGGCCCCGGCGGTCCTGAGCAGCCCGAGGGCACAGGAGGAGGGGCTCCGCTGTGCAGCCACGGAGCTCGGGGCCGAGAAGGGGCGCACCAGGGGGCCACACAGCCGGGAGGGGCCGGGCGGCAGGCTGAGGCGCCGGCTGCCCCGCTGTCATCGTACCCACTCGGGTCCCCGGCGGAAGGTCCAGCAACCAAGGGTGGGAGCGTCTGACCACGAGCCGCTTTCCTCAGAGTGAAAACCCGGGCATTTCATGCCTGTTCATTCGCGCGCGAGGAGATGCCTGTTCAGGGCAGCGCCAAGGGTGGCCCTGCTGGGAGGGTGCGACTCCACCGGAATTTCAGGAAGGGGCATGGGGCGCACGTCCACACTCTGCAGGGGCCCAAATGGGACGTGAGACTCCCCAAGGAGGCTGGTGCCTGCTGGGGTCCTCATTACCCCCGGGTCCTGGCCCGACCTGGGCCCAGCAGCCTCCTGATTCGCTTCCATCCTGGCCACACTGGAGTTCGCGGTTCTCCATGTCTGGCTGATAGCAGCAGCCGACACCATCTCTGTGAGGGGCCGCCTGAGCCTCCATTCTGCCCTGAGAATCCCAGACCACCGCTGATGGAACGACCTACTGGCCGTAGGCTGGGCAGCTGCCTGCTCACGAGGCCCTCCATCTGCATCCCGGTCCCCAAGACGCTAGGTGAACATCCCCTGCGCCGTGACCCTGCCGGGCCTCCAGGACCCAGGCACCCTTGCTGTTCACTTCTACCACCTGCCTGGGGCCATGCTGTGGCGGCTGCGGGCAGCACTCTGCTCTGGGAATCTATGCGACAGCTCCCTGTGCTCTGACTGTCCCCTGAGCTCAGGGACCAGCTCTGCAACCTCCACACAGGAGAGCTGGGCCTCTGCCTGCTGCACGCAGGTCACTGCTGACTCAGTTGCAACAACCTAGCTAATTTGCAGAGGGTGAAAGGGACAGGGAGTCTAAACTGGCCCTGTGTTGGAACTGATCTTTAAAAAAAAAAAAAAAAAAAAAAAAAAAAAAAAAAAGGATTTTATGAGAACTTCAAGTGGTTTTTCTAAATTAGATTCAAAACAACCCACCTAAGTCTAAACCTGGCTGCTCTGAACAGATGAAAAGCTGGAAGGCAACAGGCGCGGTGCTGTGAGCTCGCTCCCGAGTGGACACCAGGGCTGACGCCATCCTGCGGGAGCCGAGGGGGCAGCGAGGAGGTGACGAAAGAGGAGGCGAGTGGAGATGGGTCTGGTGCCTAAGACCTCAGACATCTACCCAGTGAAAGGCGCGAGGGGACCTGATTCAAACGCAGCAATCCTAAAGCACATTCTGAAAAATGGCACCTACGTTAGATGCTATTTGCAGTCTAAGAGGCCCTCGGGAAACTACTCCAAGTTGCCAAAACTATGCTTATTTTCTTCCAACAAATTACTTATCTATAAAACAGTCATGCAAGTTGATTTCCATCTGCAGGGGACAGGGAAACCTCCTTGTCCTTTACCCAGTGCTCATCTGTGTGTTGAGCCAGCAGCGTTAGAGGAGCCTTTGGAGAGTGACTTATTCCTCTAAAATGGGCTTGCGCTCCTGAGCTCTGGGTGTGCGTGGGCCTGCGCTCCTGCGCTCAGGGATACACGAAACTCTCAAGTCCGGTATTGCTGGGAAGGGCTCACCACAGCTCTCTGCTCTCTGCCCACCACAGCTGCTGCTGCTGAGGAGGGAGGAACCGGCACCCAGGACCCACTTAGGACTCAGGACCTGGATTGACTCCAACCCAAGGAGGCCCTCCCCAGCTCCCAGGCCCTCCCAGGAAAGGGGTGAAAGCTCTGCATGGCCTTTGCCACAACAGTCACCCCAAGGCCATCAGAACAGACCCAGACTCCCCCGAAGACTGCGCTTACCTTTGCCAAAGCTTCTCAAATTCTCTTGGTGTGAGGGGGATGTCAAAGCCATACAGAGCGTTCTTTATATCCCGTCGTCGAAGAATGCCATTGCCCTTGGAGTCGGTTTCTATGAAATTCTACAATGTCAAAAGATGGCATTTAGTAGCATATAAAATGTATTCACTAGTCAACATCTGAAGTGATCAAAGCGATTTCTCTTCCTCCCTCCTTTAACCTAAGTTCCAGATGTCCTCATGGACCCTGAAGGGAGGACGATGGGCTCAGCAGGAAGGGGGTCATCGCTGGGCAAAGGTGCCGTCTCTGGGGCACAACCTGGAATTCTGCCCCCACCAACAACCTGTGTCTACTCACTAGTGGAAACAAAGGTGAACCAGACCCTCAGAAATGAGGTTGGGAGTGCCTGCCCATTATGGTTTGCATCTGAATGTCCTTCACGAAGTCACAGGGGCAGGATTTTCAGAGGTTGCTCAACCTACAGTTTATGATTGATTCATGGTCCAGTACTAGAATTAAGGGTGTGAGTGTGACGCCCGCCCCAAGGCAGGTGGTCTGCGAACAGTATGAAGGGCAGTAGGAGGCGTGCTTTGCTCCAGTCTGCCTGCCGTGGACCATTCTCTGCCAACCCATCCTGCCCTGGAGCCCGCTGACTATGGACTGAAACCTCTACAGACTGTGAGCTCAGTAAACCTTTCCTCTTTTAACTCTGGGTGTCAGATATTTTGTCTCAGTAATGAGAAAAGGAACTAAGACGCCACCTGAACAACGCAGTGGGTTTGGTCCTCCAGCTGCAAGAGGTGAAATGGGGGACACCAGATGCCAGCTGGTGTGACAGGAGGATGTGGTGCCATGTCAGTGTCCCCCAGAGGTGCAGCAGAACCTGGGGACTTGGTAGGGATTTAGGAGGACCACAGACTGGAGGAGCACCCAACACCATGGTGCCCAGCTAAGGTTCCCACCTGACAGCCAGGTAATGTCCCGGTGGCAACATAGTGGAATAGACAGAATGGGCATGAGGCCCTCTTCAAACCTTAAGCCCATTTGTGAGAGAACAAAACATTCCCTCCCCAGATGAAGAAGGACATAAGGGCACCCCTCTGTCCACCCCCCGAGTCAGCGCTGTGCTGCAGGCTCGGCCAGCTCTCTGAGGTAAGACAGAGCCAAGGTGTGACGGCAGGGCAGGAAGAAGCAGCTGCCCTTGCTCCGGGGGCGGCACTGTGCTCACAGAAGCACAAGCAGCTGCAAACAAGCTCTGGAAGAGGCAAATCTAGCAAGAAAAGCTGGATTCTATGTGAACAGGCAGAACTGATCACTTTTTATAAAAGTCACAGGAAAAGAAAGATTTAAGGATAACATTTAAGACGGTCCTAAGAATAAATCTAAACATGATTTGTAAGAACTCTATCTAGAAAAGTCTTAACCTTGCTCAGTGAGGGGTTTTTTGGTTTTTTTTTTTTTTTTTTTGGATGTAATTTGGAAAACAGTCAAAACCCTCTGATAAACGAGATGGAGGGAATGCCTACCAGCTAATTACTTTTTTAAAAATTTTATTTATTTTATTCTACTTTTTGATACAGGGTCTCACTTGCAGCTTGGACTCATAGTGATCCTCCTGTCTCAGCCTCCCCAGTGCTGGGATTACAGGTGTGAGCCATCACGCCCAGTTTCAGTGACTGGCATAGCATGCCCAGGGTGGGGCTGGCAAGGCAGGCACTATGGGGTATCGAAGTCAGCACCTTGTGCTTGCCAGACAGGTGCTTACGCCGCTGAGCTAGCTCCCCAGCCCTAACAGCTAATTACGATAAATCAATGTTATAACAACTACAAAGATGAGGTACAGATGCCCCAGGACACAGCCTGAGCAGCGAGACAGAAGGGGGTGTCTGGAGACATCTGGTGTCCCCTGTTTCACCTCTCACAGCCAGGGGACCAAACCCACTGCATTGTTCAGGCGGTGTCTTACTTACTTTTCTCACTGCTGAGACAAAATGCCCAACACCCAGAGTTAAAGGAGAGAAGGTTTATTTAGTCTGTAGAGGCTTCAGTCCATATCAGCGGGCTCCAGGGCAGGGTGCATTGGCAGAGAACGGTCCACAGCGGGCAGACTGGAGCACAGTAGCAAGGGAGAGGGGAGGAGGGAGTCTACCGTGAAAGGCGAGGCTGCCAGGGGCCCTCCAGGGAAGAGATGAGCCGGCCTTGCCATCCCAGCACATACACATGCAGCCCAGTTCTCAAGACCTGAACAGGGCGGAGGAGACTGTGAAATCCTAAGAAAGATTCCGAGACAACTTCACATCCCCAAGGTAAGACAGGATGTCTTCCAGAGAAAGGCTGTTGACTTTGACCGCACTAAAAAGCAAAGCTTATATTTATCACAAGACTCCAAGTGAAAGAGGCAGAACCAGAAATCAAACTGGGAGGAGATACTCGCATCAATATCACTAACCAAAGAGCGGTAGTCAGGGCCGGCTGAGTTCGGTGGTGGGGCTGTATGACCCAGCACTTCAGAGGACCTGGGCTGGATCCCTGGCGCTGTAAGAAATGAAGTATCCAGGCCACAACAAAAATTCCTACTGGCCAATAAGAAAAAGACAGCTGTCCCCGAATGCTGCAAAGAGTCTCAAGTAAGCACTAGGCAACAAAGAAAACCTGACTAATGAATAAACAAGTAAAAGATGCCTGATCTCATTAATAATCAATAATATGCTAATGAAACACAATAAGCTACTATTTTAGATTCTCTACCATGGAAAAGTTAAGTCTGAGAGCACCAAGTGCTATGTTGATATGGCTGAGTGGTGACACGGGTCTGTCTTGCACAAATCCAAAAACACCTCCTGTGCCGTCTCCTCCAGAAGCGGGCTGATGGACTGAGTCTGTGACACGGGTGATACTCCTCACCTTCATCCGAATAGAAGTCACATGCTGGCCACTTTAAATGTACTTGAGCTGCGCATACATACCTTAAATAGTCCACAGTACGGTCATTTAATTTTTCCAATTTGGAAGCAGATACTTTATTAACTCATAAAAACAACACAGTAGATACCTTAGATCATCCTTCTAATAGGAAGTTAGAAGGATCATCCTGTTGATCAAAGTTCATCCTGTTGATCTGGTCCTCCCTATTTCCAGCATCTCCACCCTCCACAAAATGGGTGGTCTTTTCCTTCATTCCACCTCGTGGAGATGATAACTTGAACGGCCACGGGAAGTCATTTGCCTCTTTGAAGCGTTTTCCAACAGTATAGATCTCATGAATCAGCTCCTCCATGCAGATGGTGCCATATTCACCAAGAGACCGAGCCATCGATGAGTTATCTGTCAAGGCAACTTGCTTCTTATTGCCTTTGCCACAGCCACGCTTGTATATTAGTTCGTTCACTGACTTCAGGTTTGGGTACCCCATGTAATAGAGGGCTCCACAGTTCTTAGCATGTTACCTGAAGCCTTGTTGAGCTTAACGAAGGTACCGTCGATGATTTGGTACCTTCATGGTACCAAAGAAGGCAAAGAAGCTGCAACACCTTGCAGACCTTTGGGCTCACACCATTGACACCCCTGATCCGGGTGACAAATGCAGTTTGGGCTCTGCAGGGACGCAGAAGTGGCCAGCTTTCCTCGCCATCCTAGCCATTTGGATCTCAGCTCTGTACATCTGTCTGTCCTCCTTATGACAGTGCCTGGCTTTTTCCTAGATGAACTTCCTCCTCACCTTGCAAAGCGTCTTCTGGGCAAACTTCTTTCTCAGGCGCTCTATCTTTAACTCTATGAAATGTCTTGGCTTTTCCTTAAGGGTTTCTGGCACAGCAGGAGCCTTCTTTTTCTTCTCCTCTGCACCTTCCATGGTTCCAGTCGGAAAAGAACAGAGTCATTTTTTAAAAAAAATATTAAGATGTAAGAATTACTTCTAGAGGATTTCGAAGTCCCTTTGAGAAGATGTAGCAGATCTGACATGTACAAAAATATTGTAATACTGTAATCCACCACTCTGTCCTAAAAACTTGTAAAAATCTGAACAAATTGAAAGACTGATAATAGTTTTTCCCCAAAGGGAAGTCACTTCACAGACCCAGCCACTTCTGCCAAAATTGAGGAGAGCAGACGGGTTAATGCAGAGAATCGCAACCGACTGGAGCGAAGGCTGTGAGCAGCGACCTCCAGGGAACCACGAGGATGGAAGCAGGAAGAACATTCCAGCTCACTCCATGAGGCCAGCACCACCCTAAGACCCATACACTATGAACGCGCCAGAGCGGTGTCCCTCATGATGACATGTGTGCAATCCTCAGGAAAATACCAGCAAAGCAAACCCAACAATATACGACAGGAGCCACACACCCTGACCAAGCAGGGTTTCACCCAGGCACACAAGGACAGTTTGATATTTAAAAAATTCATTAAAGTAATCCATCACGTCAGCTGAAAGAAAAAAGAAAAAACACATAGTGATATCAAAGTTGAAGAAAAAGCATTTAACAAAATCCAAAGCCCATTTATGGAAATTCTTACTAGACTGAGGGCAGAGGGGGACCTCCCTAACTTGATAAAACACAGCTGCAAAGGCCACTAGCCAGCACCACACGTAGAGGTGCGATCCTAGAAGCCCTCCACTGAGATTGGGAGTGACACTAGGATGTCCCCGCTCACCACTGCCTTTCCACATCGTGTGGGAAATGTTAGCTAACACCACGAGACGACCAAGGGAATTAAAAGCACACAGGGTGGAAAGAAAGAATTTTTTTTTTCCCACAGGAGACATGATTGTCTACATAGAAAATACCACAGAATTAAAAATATAAACAAACAAACAAATGAAGACCCCTCCTGGAACTAAAAAGCAATGGTGCTAAGGTTGCAGGATAGGAGATTAATGTCCAGAAGTCGGTTGCATTCCTGTAGACCAGCAACCAAGAAGTAGAAGTTGAGATTAAAACACAATGCCATTCCAATGCCAACATTACGATGCACGAGATGAAATACTTAAGTACATATACAAGATCTACGCAAGGAAGATCACGAAACTCTGATGAAAGAAATCAGAGAAGGAACTAAAATGAAGAGCTGCTCCCCGTTGACAGACAGGAAGGCTCGGTATCATCAAGATAGCGGTTCTTCCCAGCTTGCTCTGTGGACTGTTAGGTGCAATCCCAGTTAACATCCTGGCCCGTTATTCTGTGGGTGCTGACAGATGGATTCTAAAGTTTCTTTGGACAGAGGCCCAGGAGAGCCAACACAGCCCTGATGTCGGAGAGTAACGCGGGAGGAGGAACACAACTCTTCTTCCAGATGTGCTGTGAAGCCACAGCAATTGCCACAGCAGAGTTGGCAAAGGAACAGAAAAACACGTCAGGGGAACAGAATAGAACACCCTTTGGCAAGCGCAGGGCCCAGGGCTCAATCCCCGGTACCGCATGCTGCGCCGCACTGAGCCAGAGACCGAGTCCTGGTGTGGTGGCGCACGCCTGTAATCCCAGCACTGGGGAGGCTAAAAACAGGAGGATCACTATAAGTCTGAGCTGTGCAGTGAGATCCTGCACCAAACACATAAAGGAAAAAAAAATGGTGCTGGGACAGGTAGACACACATATGCCAAAAAGAAAAAAAAAAAGTTTAAACATGGACCTTACTTTTACTTCATAAAAATTAACTAAGTGGGCCTTACACTTAAGTGTAGAATACAAATCATAAAATGCCTAAAAGATTATAGGGGAGAAAAATCTAGGTGACCTGTGTTATCTTTTAGGCATTTGATAAAGAACTTTTAAAACTCAACAATAATAAAAATAATTTAAAAGTGAGTTTAAAAAAAAGTGAGTTAAGACCTTAATAGGTAAATACACATATGAAAATATGCCCTGAATCACAGGTCACCAGGAAAATGCAAATTAACAACAGGAAACTACCACACACCTAGGAAATTGACCCAAACCTAGAACACAGCCAACACCAAGTGCTGGTGAGGACACGAAGCAACAGGAACCCTGAACTAAGGGTGGAGACAAAGTGGCCCAGCCACTTGTCACTCTGCACCAGCCTGCTGATGTCATCTGCTTGGACACAGCACCGATCCCCACTGCTCACTATCCGCACTGCTGCTTGGTGACTGTCACCTCCACCGGCTGCCTTCAGTGACCACTGGTCCTAGTGGGTTCCTGGCACATGTGCGGAGCACAGCTGGGGTGGGTGGCAGTGGTCCTCAGAGTCCCCAGGGCCCACAGGGGGCAGCAGTGGATGAGGCAGAGGCTGGGCTTTGTTAGAGGAGGAGTGGAAGGGAAGAGGTTGCAGCACCACCTGGGAAGAAGGGCTGGCTCGTACAGGAAAAAGGGTTTTGGGGGATTGGGTTGTTTGTCTTGCTCTGGGGGCTTGCAACCAGAGCCTTCACACTGAGCTATATACCTCCAACCCTTTGTATTTTTTAAATTTTGAGACAGGGTCTCAGTAAGTTGCCCAGGCTGGGCTTGACCTTGTGATCCTGCTGCCTCCACCCCCCAGAGTGCTAGGATTGCAGACACGCACACTGCACCTGGCTAGGGGCTCCTTGTTCACAGAAGTCACAGAGAAGGTGGCAGAAAGGACAGACAGTGCTGCCTCCTAGCGGGACCTGCACTCGTCGCAGGCCAGCGGGCACTGAGGCTGCTACCCCAGACCCTGCCCAGCACTCCTCACCCACTGGGTGCCTCAGTGAGCCGAGCAGAGCTTCAGCTGCGACCAGCTGGGTTACAGCAGCTCTGACGGGGACGCCGTGGACAGAACCACGCACTGGACACAGGCCGAGAAACCGCGCAGGGCAAGACAGCGACCAGGCGAGACAGCAAGGCCGCTTTGCAAGGCGCAAGCACTTCCGGCACAGAGGCGTAAGAGCCCTTGCTGGGCAACGCTGCTGTGTCCTCGTGCGCTGCAAAATAGAGCCTCGGCATCTGTGGTTTCCAGATGGACCCCGGGCCCCCGTGTGTCCTGTAGCGGTGGCTGCCAGAGCGTCCCAGCGCGGGCCTGCAGCCCCCGGCCTCAGCCACACCCGCGTGACTGCACCCCGTCCTATCACTTTGGCACCAGAGGCAGAATCGGCTCCTTAAAATGCATATTTATAACTGTGCCAAATTGCATACGACAGCTTCTCATCTTTCTTCATTCGAATTTGTCATTCTCATCCGGCCTGCAACATCACCAGGCCTTTCTCTGTGGAGCCCCACCCCTACACAACTCTCCGAGCACCAGCTGACCCGCAACGTGAGGCCTTAGTTTGTAAACGTCCTTTGAGGACACGAGGAGTCAGCAGATCGGGCGGACCAAGCCGTTTTCCCATCTCGTCTCCGCGGCGGCGTTTAGACAGCTTGTTCTCCCCGGCGGGCTTCAAACACTGGCATACATTTTCTTTCCTTTTAAGGAAATCATCATGTTCCTACCTTGGACAAGTCCGCCCATCTGTTTTTCGCTTTGATGACAAGATACTGATGAGCCTGCTCACAGGCCAACTCTGAATCCGCAACTTTCTGTTTGGGTCTTAAAAGAAAAAAAAATTAATAAATAACTGCGTTTAAATTTAATGGGCTCGCGAATCTCCCAAGGGGATCCCCCCACCCCCTGTTTGTTTCAAAGAAACCATTAAAGGCTGTGTTTTCACATCTGGTCTAACTTAATTCTTAAAATACAGTCTTAGCTTCCTAGCTGCACGGTAGGGAAGTCATCTGAAATTTTGCAAGTCTGTTTATTGTCAGATAAATGCTATTCGAGTTTTTTGTGTGTGCAACATATAAACCCCACCAGGGCTCATTTATTCTCGGGGTGGGGGGACACACCATGATACAACATTAAATGTCCGAGAAATAAAACAAATGCACACTTTTCGACTTGAAGTTGCAAGCTGGGGAGAGAATGAAGCCCACACAGTTGAGGCACAGCGAGAGAGCTCAGCTTACGGATTTCCGGGCCCCGGCTCATTTTCCAAGGTTAGGTGTGTAGGACTAAAGGAAAACCAACAGTCTGCTATGCTCACTCCCAGCGGGATGGACTTGCTCTCTCAGTCCTGGGTACAAGAATGGTGAAACCCCGTTGGAGGAACTGGGGTGACCTGGGTCTCCCCTCCCGCTGAAGCACATTATGGGGGGATGCAACTCTATACTCAGCGAGGGGCGCCTTCACTGCAGGGATGTGGCCAGGGCCTGCCTCAGTCATGGGCTGCAGTGCGTGTGTTCCCTACCTGCCCCCCTTCTGGTATCCCCTGCTGTGGCCTGGAGGCTGTACCCACACATCTGTGTCAGCAGCCCTTGCCCTCACCTGCCCCTCTGCGCCATTACTCCAACTGCCTACCGGACTCCACAGAACCACGGAACTTCCAGGGTGGAGAGGGGTCCAGGCTCTGCCACACCTGTCCCCTGTCACCACCTCACCGCAAAAGGTGGTGGAAGGCTGGTGGGATTGTGCCTCATGCCTGTTGCTTTTACTTAAAAGGATTTTCAGTATCAGGACCTGTATCCCTGGCCATCACCTTCAGACTCTTCCTGAATCCAAAGGACTCCCTGGGGCCGTCCCACAGCTGTTACACAGCCCTGAGGACATGTGTCATCCATCTTCCCCGACCCCAGCAAAGTAGATATAGCTGCCCCCTCACCAGGAAGCGTTGGACAAATACGCTGAAACACAGGTGAAAGGGGTAACCTCAGAAACTGAGGGGGAGGGGCCACGGGTAGGAGGCTGGGAGCTGCTCTGAGATGTGTGTGAGGAGGTGGCAGCGGCCACGTGAGGAGCCTGAGGGGCACCAAGCTGCCCAAGAGTCCTGGGGCACACCGCTGCCCCACGCGAGGGCCACTGGGCTCCTTTGCTCCTCCTTTCCCTCCTTTGATCACCAAAAGCTCTGCACAGAATGCAAAACACACCTCTGTGAGGACGTGACAGGAAGCTAGAGGAGAGGAAATCAAAACTCAAAGAATGACAGTCACGGGACGTGTGGGTCCTGCCCCACGAGGCGAGGGCACGGCAAGGAGCCCTGCTGCACTGCTTGGGGCAACGAAAGCCAGTGCAGCCACTGAGGAAATGAGTGTGGAGACTCCTCGGAAACTAAAAGCTAGAAATTCCAGCCCACCCACCTCTGCCCTTCCGAGGTATCTTCCTGAGAGAGCTGCCCTCACTCTATTGCACTGGTCCACGCCCATCCCTAGCAGCTGAACCATGGGAGCCGCCCACACGCCCATCCACAGATAAAAGGAGAAGGAAAGTGGTGTTTCCACACCGTGGAGCGCTGCTCTGCTGCGGAGGTGACTTGGGTCCTCTGGGAAGAGGCGCACCTTGCGACCATGATGTTCAGTGAAATAAATGAGACACGGAGCTTAAGTCTTGCATGATTTCTCTTCCATAAGAAACTCAAAATATAAATAAAGTAAAAAGCAAAATAAAGGATGATGGGAAATAGGCAGATCTTTTCGGAAAAGAAATGGGAAGAGAAGCTTTGGCAAGGAAGTAGTCAGGCGTGCTGCGTCCGCGCCCAGGCCCTGCAGTGAAGGCAGTCACTGTGAACTGCAAGCACGGACTAAGAAGAATAAAGATTTATAAAAGGATTTATCTGAGATGATTGAAATGTTCTAAAATTAGACTGTGATGATTGTACACTTTAAATTTACTAAAAATCACTTTAAATAAGCAAATTTTAGGGCCTATAAATTATACTTCAATAAGACAATCACAACTTTTAATTATAGCCCCATCAAAAACCAATTTAAATTCTGAAAATGTTCTTTTCCCTTCTTTGATATGATAAAAGGGCTGGGGAGATAGCTCAGTAGAATAAGCGCTTGCCTGGCAAGAGCAAGGCCCTGAGTTCAATCCCCAGTACCATGCCAAAAAAAGAAGTTATGATAAAAATATTACCCAAGGAGATGGGCGAGAGAAAATGGACTCAAAAGAGTCTGAATTTAGGGGAGATAGCAGCATAAGTGTCTGCCTGGCAAGCA